CAAGTACGTATATCAGATGATCAAGATGTCTTGTTCAATAGTTATTGACTCTTAATTCGAACAATGTTAGTCAGCATTTGACCTTATGTTGTGTATCGGGACCCTGTCTTTATTGAGACAGTAAGGCCGTTTGGTTTGCCGTTCCACAATGCGCAATTCACGTATATCGGGTTTCAAAATGCGTCAGTTTTGGAAGAGAAATATTAAGGGCCGTGTTGCCACACGCAAGTATCGGTATACAACTGAACAAAGGCGCAAACACGTGTTTTGTCATGAGGGTGGGAGGCGAGGTCTCTGCGCCTCCGAACAATGGGCTTGAAGCCTGCTGCGAAATGTCTCCGAGAGGCATGACAAAGAACCCTACAAGCAGCGATGAAACAAGATGCTTGTCTCTACTATCTCTATAGAGACCAAACCAAAAAGGTGATGTTGTGACGCTAGCATCATTTCGGATCGATTATTAAAACCGTACCTATGGCCGTATACCACACTCCTGCTTATACAAGGTCAAGTGCGACCTTCGTGAAGACTTCGAGTAATTGAATTCCGCAGTTGTGGACTGATGGGGAGTTCGCTCGGTCAGTCAAACAGAAAGGTTTCTCTCCAGCATCCGACAGCACGAAACTGGCCGTATTACTCACAGCTAGCACGCGATGTCTTAAGAAAGAGCTCTGCAGATAGAAGTATGAACTTTCAGACGAAACTATGAGCTGTTGTGAGATGTTGTGATGTTAACTATAATTTATGTAAACTGGTACATTTAAACGGTACTTCACTTTTGAATATTTCACATAAAAGTTAAGCTTGAAATTCACAAATGTTAAAGTTTTGCAAAGAATTGACTGAATATAGCGGGGAATCTTGGTCAAACAGAATGTAGAGTGTATTTCCTAATCGCGATATATACATATCCGTTTGAAAAACGTCAGCAATAAATATCCACAATTATGAAACTTTAAAGAATAAAAACAGTTTGACAGGTCGTTCTAAACTTCACGTTCCACTTTATTAATTTATTAAGTTGTATTTAACTACATTAAACCTGTCGAAAATGATTGTGGGCAGTCAGAGAAAGATATGATGCTAAAAAGTAACAAAATGGCGTTCATCACATTTTTGGAAATAATACTCTTCAAATAGACACTCATCAATAATTATATGAAATATATATTCATCCCGGATATGTCCCATGGTTCATTTTAGGGGGAAGGCAGTTCGACTTCCTTGCCCTCTTTTCAAGATTTGATGTCGCGCCCCTACTTACACTTGTCGTTACTCATTTAACTCTGACATAAGCGCAAGCCTAATTTTGTTGTGGCTTTCAGACGTTTCTATTAAGGGCGGGCTCGTCTGAAGACAGCTGAAAAGTGCATAGTAAACACACACACACGCGCGTCACGGTGTTGCCCCTATCATGAGAAAATTATGGTGTGCTTGGTATAGCCAATAAAAACATAACATGACAGAGTGCTATAGTCGGTGCTGCGGGGGGAACCTTAATGGAGAAGCGAAGTCTGACTTTAACTCGTCAAATCGAAGGCATGACACTCATAAGGAAGGCCGGCTCCACTGCCTAATTGGCCGTGACAGGTTTCACTCACTCGTAAAGATATCCGAAATGACGGAAAGGCTGTTCAGTGGACTTAAGAACGGGAGGCGGATTTGTGACTTTAATGATTAATTGCACGACCGCATAGAGTTTTGTGAAAAAGGCGTATGACTTTCTTCTTTCTTCAAAGTTCCGTATATATAACTGCTTAAAACAAGAGTGCTCCTTGAAAAAGGTCTAGCCATTTTTAAAAGTAATTTAAGACATCAAACCTGCCGCACTAAAAAAAAACAAAGGTGGATAAAACACTATATGAAGTTACCTCAATAATATTGTTGGTGTGATTCCGGTAAAGAGTTTTCCCAAGAGTGTCGGAGCGGTTTGGTTTCGTGACCAACATAATAGCGCAAAATACCAAGACATTTTGCCCAACATTGTTTGAGTGCGTCAAAGTTTGGTCAAGTTTACTCCCTTTTTTGTGCGGCCAACTTGCAACAATTTTGACGGGTATCCCGTTTTTGTTTCTAATTCCCTGCGTTATCTAGACGTGATTTATTTTTTTTTTTGCAAAATAACCCAAGGGAAGTTTTATCCGCGGTCGTTAATGACCACATAAACACGGAGGTAATAATACTTCAGGATTCTCAAGGCCCATGGAATTACGGCAGCTAATCGCCAATCATCCTGCCACCATATCTGATCTCCTGGGAGTGTAATAACGGCTCAATAACGTGCTCCAGGCACCCGTGATCCGCTCGTACGTAGAAAAATCAACCACAAAACTGCCGTGTGATACTTCAGTTCTATTGGTTCTGGTTCTTGGTTCGATGTGGTTGCGATGGTTTAATTTACGTCTCAGTATTCAGATCAACTGAAACAGTGAGAAGAGAGAAACTTGGCAAAAGAAGTGTTTGCGTTGAATGCTGCTCGGTCGTGACTGCAGAAATACAAAGAACAGCAGCCACACATACAATGTTCAGCTTCATACTTAATGCTGGTCCCCGAGTGTCGGCTAAAAGGCCATGCAATGTATTTTTTTAAAGCAAACCTTGAAAGTGCACATTCGTGTCCCATTTAATGTTATTTTCAATTTTCATTTCGCCATTTTCAATGGTCTTTTGGGTTTTTTTATGCTAATGCGAATTTCCAAATTCATGAGCAAAAGTGTGATGCCATTTCAGGTAGAAACATTATGTTACAGCTATTTCAACACATAAAGTTACCAGAATTTCGGATATTTAGCTGTTGAATATTTTTCTTTGGTGATTTGTTGTTGTGTCAGTACATGGCAGTAAGTCAATGAGCAAACTTTTCTCACAAATGTTTTCTATGAGCAGATGATTTTGGGTCCGCATTAATGAAGAGAAAACCCCTTAACTGAACAATGTCTTCCTGAAATGACATCACAGCAACAGCGCCCTCAGTTGTCCAGAAAAGCATGAAAAATATTTAAATGCTTTAAGAAGTGCAATTTTCAATTAAATGAACCAAAAAGGGATGTCGAATAGTTTTCAAGCGGAGTGGAAAGTTGCACAAAATGTGTTCCTCAGAAAAATTCATTGCATGGACACTTTAAGTGTCTTCTTTGTATCTATCTCACTTATTGGCTCTCTGGCACTCGCTTGTGACCTGGGCAGTGCTATCATATAGGATGACCCCGTGACCCCAATGAATTGGGTAAATCCGGACCATGCATTGTGTAGACCAGATGCATGAAAATATTTCCACTGAATCGAATTCTGAGCACTCTGGTGCCACTTTACTCACCTTGCCTTGTCATGTTCAAATCCTTTAACTTTCGAATAACCCAGCTCGTTTGATACACCATGTAGATCAAAACATCCATAGTTCCAAAAGCGAGAAGTCGGGGTTGGAATGTGTAGATGCTTTTATCCATTTTTGACAGAAGTTGGTTAAGCTATGAGGCTCCGGAGAGTCATAATCAAAGTTGAAATATTCGCTCATCAAAAAAAGGTTGATGGTGAAGACTCATTCAGGTTTGTCATTTGTGACTTTTCGCGCCATTACCGCGACGATTTTCTTCATTTGATGGGTGTTCAACCCATCAAATGAAGAAAATTCAAACCGCGTTTGCGTTAAAGCTCTGTGTATATCATTCATGGTGAGTGGATGTGTTACATTAATGACCTAATAAAACGATGGGCGTCAATATTTATCAATAATTATTCACTCGTCCTAGTAATGACATATCTGGGCAAGTCTTTAATTCCCAACTGTTCTAAATGCGCAGTCACGATATGGTAATCAAATAGATAACGGCCAGACGGTCACAAGAGGTGAAGGATTTCTGCTTTTGTCGATGACCTTATATTAATAATGAGCAGTAATCTGTGAATAAGTTATCTTTTCTGTACATACGCTACATATGTGTCAGGTGCACACCAAAATTAAGTATTTTGCTGGCAGTTTGGGATTGTTTGTATTCATGAGGCGGAACTGTTATTACGCTCAATTGTACGGGAGCGTAGAGGGGCCACAAGCAATAACACATTCGAAATTGGTAGCTTGCCACGTCGAATTACTTAGTCTGGTTCCCTGACCTGACAATTCCCCGACGCCCCGACGTCTATAGGTCAGGCAGCCACCACCGGGATAGAAGAATAAACATGATGGCTTTTTTTCTTCTTTTTTCCTTTTTACAATGTTCGGCTTTGTTTCCGCTTTGGCTTTATCATTAAAAGCTTTTAATGTTCCGATCAATTTTTTTTTTTAATCAATTGCTTCACATGTCATACAGTTTGATATTTCTGTAAAGAAAACGTTAAGTACTGTTTAGCTGGAATCTGTTAAGGACCCAAATAGAAGGCGAAGCCGAAATGTAGGGCACGTCGAGCTTTGGCAACCGTCGTCAGATTCAAAATAAGCAAAGCTCTCCCCTCGTATCGTACGATTCGAGTGAATACCTGATGCACAAAGTCGTCGTTGAATTTCGTTATCTTTTAAATGCAAATCGTTTTTAAACTTTTTAATAAGCATGGACGGTAAATAAAACCGATTTATTCCCGGAAATACCCAAGCGATATCCGAAACTGTTCCAGCACGTGACTAGTATGCCCTTATTGATATCAAAGACGATTTCAACAAATCAACTCGTGCTTCATGATAATATCTCTTCACAGAACGAGGCAAGTGATCTCATAATGGTTAATAATCGTCGTGAAATGACAGATTAAACAAACATCTAAATATTGTCTGATATTGTTTGTGTAACAGTTTAATAAACCAAACCGGAGCAAACGAAACAAAACATTAAAACCTCTAACAGATATAGATAAAAGTAAATACCGCAAACAGTAAAAAAACAAAAAAAAACCAATGTAAGTCAATTAAAGTCTATAATATTGAAGTCATGATTGTGATTGTTTACTACCGTGTTCAAAATTATTATGATTCCAGACTGACGTCATTTTTGTATCTGTTTTTCATCCAGTTTCTTTTACCAATGGCCGACATGAGACTCGTTGTCTTAGCAACCATCTTACTGACTCTTATCCTGACGGGGGAGATCCAGAGATGTAGCGGCCAGATTCACTACAAAGTACCTGGATGGGGACCAGGCGGCAAAAGAAGTTCAGTTTTGGCGGGAAGTAATGTATTACGGGTAAGTTTGGAATGAAGACCTCATTCTGTATTTTTTTAAGGGAGCATTACAAAGTCCATTATACAAGTTTATTTTTTGGTATACTTAATGGATACGTTTCCTCACGGTTTGCACGCTGGCGGTCTTCGTTAACTTCAAACGCCAGTTAACACTTTTTATACGTAAGATTTTATTTCTTCGTTTTTCTTCAATGAAAGGTCGACTTTTAAAAACTGACTCAAGCAAATTCATTTGTTTGCTTCATTCATTTGCCTTTGAGAATGTGTCCGTATGTCTGTATATTTTTAAGGCAGTTTGCAGCAGCAATCTTTTCTTAAAGTTGCTTACACGTTTATTTTCATGGAACGTGTGGGCCAATTATATTTGAAACGCTTGACTTAAAATACCTCCCCTAGGTTCCCCACGCTACGGTAACCGTTTTCACTGAAGTACAAAAGCAAGTGAACGGTTTTCCGAATCTATTTGGCACCTTTTTTTTAAATAAAAAATCGACTATTAAGAACTTACTCTTGAACTTTTGTTATTAGTTTTATGTATTCTGCCTCTGAGAAAATTTGCGAGGAACGAAACGCCAGGTCCTTAAACTGTTTATAACGTGTGTCGATTCAGTTTGATGGCAGTTAGCAGCATTTATTATCTCTGCGTTTTTTGGTAGTTGACGTGCATGCACGTTTCCAATACAGGCGTATACATGGACCTCATTTGGATATATTGCAGTTTATGCTCGATTAGTTACGTGTGTACAGCGTTTGAATAGAATGTCCGAAGGCAGGTGGCATTGAAATTGCTCTGTGTTAAGCAGACACTCTCCGCCTTGGCCAGCCTACGTGATCGGCACCAAAGTGCGCAGCGAGATGTGAGGTTCTTCGAAAGCGATATGGACTCATCTCGAAAATTCTTAATTGAGAGTGTGAACAAAACATTTCATCCTATTATTTTCAATTGTTTCAACTTGAATAGGTTTGAATGAAGTTTAGTGTGTGTGGAACCTAGACAACGTCACCTCAATTCGAGGCTCGAGCTTAATTAGAAGGGAAATTTGCTCATCAAACGTAATCCCAATTTGTATATTCAAGTCGTGGTTGTGTCATTTGTCTTTAATTTGGTGGTTAGTTCGAAGGGATAGTTCGGTATGGGTTTTGCAGGAAAACAATTTGGAGGGTTTTCTTGAGATGTTTGGACCTTCTAATCACGAAGACTGGAACGGGATACTCCCTTCAGACAAGCTATCACCCACACACACCATACATTTTTACTCCCACGTACAATTTGGATGGAGTGAAAAACTTTTTGTATCCGACTTAATCTTCATGTTTTTCGCTCATTTTGAGTGTTTATTGCCTTTTTTTAATTTGGTTAGAAATGTTGTCAATACCCCATGTGTCACTAGTGGAAAGTAATGGGTATTGGTCATGCTACGGGTACCCCCGCACTTAATCAAGTCTGCCTACGCATTTGGGGGAAAAAACTCAAGAAACTCTCGGTTAAAGAAGGTTTCCTCAAGTTGATATAGAACCAATATTTAGCTTAATGACTTTTCAATTATTAACGAAAATGTTCGTCAACGCTGCAGTCGGGTACAGGTTTAAATGCCCTAGGGTAGGGGACATCGCTTTGAGATGTTCGGTCTGAAGAAAGAGACAAACTGAGAGGTTTAAGAGCCACATGTTGTACAATTTCCGTCTTGAGGGTAACTTTAAGTTGTACTGTCTGGTGGTTTGTGTTTTTAAGTTTCATCCCGAAAATAGACTTTGTTTTTAACTTCCGAATTTTTTAGCATTGCAGAGTTACATTCACTTTCGAATGAGGTATCGACCAAAAACGAGGGACCAGGTTAAGTTATGCAATAAGTACTTTGAAAACTTTACTTTGCGGCCCGACATTGATTCAGTACTCGCAGAGTAAACTTTACCCCCCCCCCCCGGCATACATTAATGTGGGGACCGGAAACCTATTTATTTTCCAATGAAAAAAGTCCCGTCTTCATAGGGTTGCAGACATTCAAAGGTCGAAATGTGTTCAAGAGCCTTAACAGCACATCTTTAACATGCCCTAAGGTTGATCGTTGAGGAAATACACTTATCAAAACAATAATTATTAATATCAGAATTGACGTCAGGCGGAACGATTCAAGTTATGATGACGTGGTCCCGTCTTTGAATTCTACATCTTGTCAATCAGCCGTTACACAATTGCTGTCCAAATGCCCTGTCGTCGTTGCTGTCTAATTTATCAAGCATCTAGAATAACGTTTGACAGTCAGCCAAGCCGTATGCGGTCTCGGTATACTTGTAAGTCTTGTTAAGAGTTGAACCATCGATAACACGCACCTTAGGCCTTCAGGCCAGCCAACTTGCCTCTTCTGAATTCAATTAACCGACAAAAAAGCAATGGACTGTAGCAGCAAGCTAAGAAGGGGTAACTGGATCACAGGTCGCCGATAGGACACAGTGATCAGAGACGACATGCCTGTCCCGTCCGCGCCCCTCACCTCCCTCGCAGCAGAAAGGCGCGGTAAACGTTTACGGACTTTGATCCCTGCTTACGTTTGAGCAGGTGTTTTGCCTGTCCTCCCGCGCCAAATAAAAGTGTGTTGGTTTTTTTTCTTTTCCCTAAAAGGCTTTTTTTCTCACCTGTCGCGAGTGGCGGGAAAGTGTCGACTTTCGGCCCGGCGCCTCTGTCCGGAAGAGATCAAAGCGTCACATGGCGACAACGACCCTCAACTCGATACGGGAGGGACGTTTGATTTCTACTGGCTTCAGGATGAATCGATTTCATATTATTTTTGTGAAGAAATCAAAACGATTGTATTTCCGCGGCTGTCGGTCAGTAAATGTAACTGTATATTGTATTCCTTCATATACTCCATATAGAGTGATATACAGCGGGCATAATATTAACGGAGATCAAGTTTGCGATTAGATATGAGTACCGGTACTTGGCGTGTATAGGAGATCATTTTTCTGGTATAAGTCAGATTTAGATTAAGCCATATTAGTCCTAAAATGATTAATCTTTTTCAAAGCAATTGAATAAAGAGATGAGCTGATCTACCACGTTGTAGGCCCTTGCTTTCCCGGGGTTTTTTTTCAGAGAAAAAGTACTGAGGATCGTTGAATTTCAAGCGTGTACGGAAGACTTGTGCAGCTCAGGCAGAGTTGTCATATATAAACACTTCATGTGCTTAATTCATCGGTGATGCGCTGAATTCATAACAGTGAGATACAGATACATGTAATATGACACTGGCGAAACAACTCCACGAAACAGGTTCTTTCAACTCGCCCACCTGACCTGTTTTGCACTATTGATTTTGCGTTAGTTGCACCATGGAGCTATAAAACACATTGCACATTGCCAATAGTGTGTTGGCAGTATAGCCACGTAATCTAGCGATGTAGGTAGCTACCTTTTTCCCAGTCCCCACAAGTTTCCAACAATCTCATACTGATACTCTGTTTATATTGTATCGTAAGTCCGACGCCTTATAAGTCCGAAATTTCGGAATTATGAGGCGTCGGATTTATAAATCACCGGACTTATGTATTCCGCCTCGTGGCTCTGACGCCTGATAAGTCCGACGCCTCATAAATTCGACGTCGGACAAACGTGGCGTCGGACCTATGAGGCGTCGGAGCTATGGACCGTTACAAAGAAAAGTATTTTATCCGATAAGGCAAGAACGAGATTTACCAAAATGTATACAACGATTTGAGCGAGGTTGTCTTCAAACGTGAGAGTGCGCACCGCGTCAGTCTGCCAGCGCGCAGTGGTTTTTATGGCGCAAGGGTTAATGCCACGGGCGTAAATCCGGGGAGGGGGGGGGGTGGGCGTGGTGCATCCCTTAATGAGAATGTGTAATTTCTTACCCTAACACGTGTTGGCGCTAACATTCTCGCATTTTACGCCATGTTTGTATTTATTGATAATGGCTGTCGGACGAGGCGTCGGACTTGTGAGGCGTCGGATTTATGAATTGTCGGACTTATGGACTGAAATAAAAGTAAAATGTCGGACCCACGAAGCGTCGATCCTATGAGGCATCGTACCTATGAGGCGTCGGACTTGATGGGTCTTTGTTTGGTTGGGGATGAGATTTGCCGGACTTATGTGAGGCGTCGGGCTTACGAGCGGACCTGGTACCCTCCGTCTAAATATGCGAATAAGCCTGAATAGGTTACTTTTTTAAGTTCACAAAGGAGTCAAGGTAAGACTAGGTCTTTTCCACACCTTGAAATGAAAGTGCAGTAACTATGTGCATGTATCTTAAACCTCAGAAATTCTTTAACTGTCAACCAAATTCACATGAGAATTCGCGAAATCAAAACTGTCTTACACTCATGACTAAAAGCAAGACAAGAAACCTTATGCATGGTGGCCGGAAGGTCAATGCTGCACTGTTTTAACGATCGCCCATGAAGAATAAACAAAGAGGAGTACCAGGTCGATAAGGTGGATTGAGTTGTGTAGTCATTATGAATTTATTTCTCTCTTTCCTTTTTTTTCAAGAAACGACATTGGCGTCTGGATTCACAACTTGAAGAGGTCAGTACAGAGAAACAACATCAACTCGCCCTGCTTCAACACATTGCAAAATCATTGGTAAAAATTATTGTTCTTTCACTTCGCTCATTCAACATTGAAAAAAAAACCTAGAACAGGGAACTGGAATGAAAAAAAAAATCAATCAGTGATCTCGCATTTAGTCCCTGTGTCAAGTCGGCCTATGCTGTTTCCACGAATGGTCTAAATCTTTAATTCAAGCTATATCTTTAATTGACAGCTAGGGTAGGTTTACCAGCTAACAGAGCACCCAGACTAGTTTTAATTACCTTGTTTTTCTTTCCGCTTGTGGTTCGATTCCCATCCAGGCTCAGAAGTTCGTGGCACCCACATTGAGTGACACGGAAACGGTGCGGGACCAGCTGACGGCGAACCAGTGGAGGGAGGCAGAGGACAATGACCGTCAGAACGACTGGAATTAACATGCTCGACGCGAAAAACAAACAACAAATCGACACCAAAAGACTCTCAAATCAGGGAAGATTAGAAAATATTGGTATCATCCTCGCTTTACAGAGGCTTCATATTCCAGTCACACTCAATTTCAGTTTGAGAATTGAACGGTTGATTTTACACTTCGTACAGTTTCATCAGTTGAGCGTATAATAGCATTTTGCCAAGTGTAACTTCAGCTTGCCAGAATTCATTTATTTGTTTAACTTCATTATGTAAAAAAATACCTGGCTCTTTTTTTTTAGATACCTTAGGTTAAACCTTTTTGCGATGTTTCCTCTATTAAGCTTAAGTAAGACCATTTCTTTCATTTAACGCAAAGTCAAGGAGCCCCTACTGCAGAAATAAATTCCTGTAGAAGACCAAATGGTGCCTTCTGTTGGGTGAGCAAAAACAGATAGATAGTGTTACCAGCAAACTGTGTGTAAAATGGACTCTTTGATTATCTGATTCCGATTAATTATTCACTGGTTTGTGTTGACTGACTGCTAATCTAGTGTTGCTATTAATTATCAGTGTCGAGGACACGCAAAGAATGAGCTCCGTAACAGTTTGTGCTTTGCTCTTGTATTGGTTCTATGCTCTATTAATGAGTCGGCCATATTTAATTGAAAGCAAGGTAAAATCGTCGTTTTGGAACTTGCGAGTGGAAATGATAGCAATGATATAAAGGTAATTACAAATTAATACCAGTCTGCTCTGATGAATAACTTAAAATTTGTAATTAAACATACCCTAATGGTTTCAGCCACATTTAAAAAACAAATTGAAAATGAGGCTTGGAATCATAAATAGTCTGGCACCATCCCATTCAACAGTTTTTAAAAATTTATAAAATACATTCAGGGAACCCGACCAAAAATAGATTCCTCTTGAATAATGTGTATCGCGTCGCCAGTTCGTATTTTTCTCTTTAAATTAAAATAACACACAAAGATTCAAAAGCCTAATCGATATTATCGAAGCCTAACGGTTAAATGTGATCCCAGTTGCCGTATACAGTTAATGCAAAATTACACAAATAGTATTCATACGATCGTGTGAGTTGTGCGTTTGTTCATGGTGTAAATCGAAGACACACACGTGCAACATCATCGGTGAATCGAGGACAGGAACCAAATCGAGGACGACCTCGATTAGAAAACGTGTACAAAACCAATGAGAGCTGTTGCAAAAAAAGTACAAACAGAGGAAAAGGGAAGAGGAACAAAAGAAAATCCTCGATTTACACCATAAACAAACGTGTCTGTACGTGGATAAGTATAATGATTTTTAAATATATCAGGTGGTATATTCACACACACAAAAGTAATAACTCAGACTCATTATTCCTCCCACTATTACTACGTATTTTTTGTGTTTTTAGCGCATTTTAAACCTCGGCTCCCCCCGGATCGGAGACATTATGGCATTTGAGGGAAGTCGATAACGTTCCAGTTACTGTGATTTTAAGAATCAAGTAACACGGTGCATTGTAACTGTATCCAATGTCGCTGCCTTTCAAACGTGTTATATTAAACCTGGTGTTTCAGATTGTGTTCGGCGTCGGTGAGGTATTTTTTTTTCATCGCCTTTAATTACACCCGTTTCACCGATGATTTGATAATAATATTTTTTAAGACTGAGACTGAAGTATATTAAATTACCTCTTTAAGGGATAGATTGCTATCAATCTCTTTCTACTCCCCCCCCCCCCACCCCCCTCCCCCACTCACGATCTAGGCCTGTCGCGTTATATTAATAGTATTTTTGGAATAATGTATAGGTGCTTACGTCAGCTGAAAGCATTGCGTAGATAGATGTTACAATAACACCAGCGGTGTCGACTATAATTGCTAGTATTGCATAGAATAATTACTTTGTAAAACATTTTTCAAGATAAAAGAGGAGGTAGTCTATAATAAATGCCTAATTGTAAAGGTTTCCGTAAGAAATAGTACAAATATAAGAGAGTCTTTGCTTATAAAAGGAGATGTCTGTCTGATTATGAAGGTGTCTGGAAGGCGGTATGACTATAGAATAATGCTTCTAGCCACACCCTTTTTTTTAATATGAAAGTAGAGTACACACAAAGGCCCACTGTATTGTAACAAAAAAGAAAATATGTCGTCTTAGAGACAATAATGTTGTGATTGTGGTGGAAAAGCCGATAGGAAAAGGTGTGTTTTGAGTTACCGTTGAAGGAGTGTGATGTCACGTTGTTGACTGAGATACATGGAAGCGAGTTGAGTTGAAACTAAGGAGAATGGTAGAAAAACTTCTTGTCTCCATAACTGGCTAGTCGAGTCCGAAGGACTAAGGAATTATGACCTTTTGGGCTGCGGGTGTCACAGAGAGCGTTCTTTGTTATTTTAATTTATTATAACAATGAATGAACGAAAGGTTTCCTCGATGCCTCTCCTAGAAATTCAAAACCACTGCCCCCTGACTCCGCCTTCACGCATAAGGTCGATTCCTGGATGATCTCGGACTCGGCTTACAGTGTGGAGTTTCAGCGTGATCTTGAGATGAAGTTGGGCAGAGCCATGACGTGTTTGCAATGTGAGGAAGATCTTGAAATGAATGTTGTACCTCAATGGTAGCCAGTGTAGCTCGCAGGCGATATGAGTAACTGTGTGATGTGATCTTTTAAAATGTATCTAAAGACGCGTAGCATAGTGCTGACTCGCTGTTAATTGACTGTGCTGAAGCATTAAAGTCATTAAAGCCCCCTGAACAAGTCCAACATTGCACCTGCTTATCCGGGAAGCTTATTTATGCTAGAAAACCCCCACGGCTAAGCCATTTGTCAAACGTGGGCTTTTTCCCGGCTCCAGCTTAGGAACAATTTTAGGCATTAGTGTTCCACCTGAATGGAAAAAAACACACTTTGACTCGGAACTAGGCTTATGATGTGTGTATATTTCCTTAAAACTTGGAAAATTAATTTACGTTCCGATCCAAAGCCAAAACGAAAAGCTTCGGTCTGTACACAATAGTCACCGTTGAGTGAAGAGAAATGTTTAGCAGTACTATTTGAAGGCACCGGACTACTCCGTACAGGTACCTTATGATATTCTCGAATTATAATATCAGGCGAGAAAGCAGCAATGGTAGTACTGTTTGTCGCCCAAGGGACGAGGTTGGCATTTTCCCATGATACATCTGGGGTAAAGCACGCACACCCCAACAGCAACTTTTTGTTATTGTGAATCGCTATAGGATTGTCTATGCGAAGATGATTCTTTTGTCCCTTTTCCGATCCTATGGGCATGTTAACTTAACGCCGGTGGTTCGCTTTGCTTTTTAGGATACATTTGGTTCTTCCCCTTTTTACCAAAGGTATCCTGACTTTATGGTTCTTATTATAAGATAATATGGTTCTTGTCATTGCATTCTCGGCGCACCTGCGACATATAAAGACAAACGCGAATGGTAAAACTTTAGTTCCCGAAATTTCTCTGATAAAATGTTGCAGATGAGCAAGTTGTCAGTCACTAAGAAAATCCAACCGATGACTTCATCCTACATAAATGTACTAATTTTACTTTTACTATCAGCCCCCCCCCCTTCAATTCTTATTAAAGAATCTTATTTGTTTCAATGTGTTACTGTAATTTCTAGTCTTTCAGACATGACTTCATTGTTTGCTGATTCTGGCAAGATAGGACATTATGGTAAAACGTTTTCGACAGAGCTATAGATAATTTGTCCAATGACATTCTTTAGCGAGTGAATGACACTTACGAATGGAATAAATCTTTCGGGCAGATGGCTGGCGTAATTTCTGGTACATATCTTTATTGGTTTGGGGAAAAATTTGCCTTGTTCATGTTAACGTCAATAATTTATTTGACTTGGTTTCAATAAAGTATGATAATGTTTTGTTTGATAGCTTTTATCACAAAGTAGGCCTATTTATTGAAATTCTTAGCCAAATGTAATATTTCAGAACTCGGTTTTCGAAATTTAAAAGAAGCGATTTTTTCTTCCTTGACGAACTTGCACTTTACTGACGTCAAAAATAGATGCGTTCTTATGTCGTAGATACGATTTTTGATTTCGTTTTAAAAGGTTGTAGTTTCAAATAGTACAAACTAATCATTTTAATCTTATTGTATTTTAATGAATCTGGATTTTCCCGGGGTTTCACTGAATAAACCAAGGTTCGTTTGCTGTCTATATCTCTCTGAGACCATATTCTCAATGTGTCTACTTAAAGGTGTCAATTTGTATTATTTAAAACAAAACAGCCTGGTAAAACATGTCCCAGAGCGCCGCCAAAGTTATACTCAATTGATTCCGAATGGTTATTTATTGAAGTCTTTTCGGGGCAGGATTTATTCCATTCATATATGACAGTCAGTCAGTCAGTCGATGAGATAGGTGCAGAGATAATACTATCGGCTGGCCCTCTGAGACCAGCAATAACAGTGAACATAAAAACACTTACATAAAAAGATTTTCAGTGTGATTCGGGTTTTTTGAAAGAAAAAAATATAGGCCTAATGATGCTAACTTCATTCACTTATAGCAAACTCTTTCGGTTTAAAAAATAGCGGAATTAGTCTTTCGTGGCCAACTTCTTTGTCCTTTTAACATTTTTGCATCGACAATTACCCAACACCGACATGTGTTCGTAATAATAAATAATTTATTACAATTCCATTCCATGTCCATAATTCCTTTTAGGGATCTCTTCAAGCTTTACGCTTTTTAAGCAGTGACTACCTTCAAGTTCAATGTCTGTAAATACATCCCCCTCCCCCCTCCCCCCCCCCTTCTAGATCCTGCTTTTTTATTTCGGTGAGTGCTTTTCTGTTTATCAAGTTTTTTCCTCTAGCCCTGAGCAATATCGCTACGCCGTTACGAACTAATGTGCTGTTAAAGCAGCAGAAGTGAACGGAGGCCTACACATTTATTAGTATTTGGTGCCGTTTCTGCCAAGGTCGTCCCACGGTTGCCCTGAGGTGAGCAGTATGCGTCAATACAACCCAACAATAGCGGGGAGGGGGTTTTATCGAGCGAGCAACCGATGGAAACAGACAGGCTTCCCCACTAGAGTTCCATCGTACAACACAGGAAAGTAAAGGCAAAAAAAGAGGTTGATGTAAAGACATGTCTAGAGAAAGTGACAGCCACGCTAACAATCTGATAACGTTGGGCCCGGCACTCACTGAATCTGTTTTCGTAGAAAAGAATGAAAAAACACAATCGCCGTTTGTTTTGGCGTTATCGGTCAGTGAAGGTTATTGTACGTAGGCATTGCTAGGAGGCATAGGCGCTATTATGACCGTTCTCAGTAATCCCTCGCTTTAGAAATTATTATGATGATTCTGTTTCTTTTTTAATTCTCGGTCATCTGCAGATCTCAAATAGTGATAAAAGCCTAGCTGACATTGTTTGGATTTCATCAAGCAGATGTCTGATCAGCGTTTTTGACAATGAGTCTTTTACCATCGGAAATAATGGGTAGCTGTCTGGCCTCCCGGGTATGGATCTCAGTGGATTATATGAATATCAAATCTGATACAATGATCTCGATTGGAAATGGACAAGGGTAAGCCCTGTTGTGCACAAAGGGGGAAAACACACTTGGGAACACGATGTTGGGAACTCGTCCACTTTAGGGAATTGCCGGCCTCAAAAGAGCTCTGCCACAGGAGGGTCAGTGACCACTCAATTACTGAACTCTTTTAGCGTGTGATGGGAATGGAGACTAGACCTTTCTCTTTTGTCTAGGGGATTAGAAAGTCATTAAACTAAC